TTTTTTACTGACCGGTAACGGGATCGCAACCCTCGGTGTCGCACCCGTACCGGGGACTGGCAATGGGATCGCAACCCTCAGTGTTGTGCCCGCACTGCGCTCAGGCAGTGAGCAGGAACCGGTCTCCACATGGGATCCGAACCCTCGGCGGGAGTGCCGCCGCGCTTCCAAAGCGGCGCACGATCCAGTGCGCCACCGGGCTGTCCCGAGGCAATGTGGTTTTCAACTCCTCCTTTTCTTGATTAAACATGTTGATTGTTGGGCCAGCCTGGTGGCACACTGGATCATGCGCCGCTTTGGAAGCGCGGCGGCACTCCCGCCGAGGGTTCGGATCCCATGTGGAGACCGGTTCCTGCTCACTGCCTGAGCGCAGTGCGGGCACAACACTGAGGGTTGCGATCCCATTGCCAGTCCCCGGTACGGGTGCGACACCGAGGGTTGCGATCCCATTGCCAGTCCCCGGTACGGGTGCGACACCGAGGGTTGCGATCCCGTTACCGGTCAGTAAAAAAAGACAAAAAGGAAGGAAAAAAAAAAAAAAAAATGTTGACTGTTGAGTTATCAATGCAGCTTGTCGAGGACTATCTGAGAAATCCTACAAGTGAGTAGTCACACTCACTTATGTTGCATCCTAGATTTTCCAATCATAAGCCTTTAAAGCATGCTGCACTGAGAGCAAAACCATTTCTTGAAGCCTTCCTGGATGCAGGAGCTGCTGAGAGAACTTTACATGCATGCCCATGTAATCCCCAGGCTGCAGCCAAGTAATAAAGTACAGCGAGGCTAGACCAACCAGGTCACACCACGGGTGGTGGAGGGGCCAGGCCTCGCCCCCAGTTGCCATCCCTGCCCCATGGTGGAGGCAAGTGCTCACACCACAACCTCAGATCTGTTCTGCCATGTGCCTCTGCCTTTTCCCACAGGTGTGGGCACAGGAGAGCCAGGCAAGGAGTGTGGCAGTCTCTGACACAGACACACAGGGACCAGTGAAGGCTGCTGAGGTGACATCTGGGGTCAGACCAGTAAACACACTATGTGTAATTGTTCTCACCTACCTACGGGTAGACACGAGTAGGGTGTAATTACTGAGTACAAATAAATTTAAAATACTTCAAAACTTCATCTTCACATTTTCTGTGTTTGTTTTCTCTAATCTAAAATCAGGAAAATAGAGAGCCTGATAGAAAGAACTAAAACAGCCATGTGAGAGGACGGACCACAGAGAGTTTCAAGGTGAACCCAACACTGTGTCTGCACATAGGCACGGCTACTACCCACCAGCATGGCCCTGGCCAGAGGGGAGTCCTGGAGAAAGGCGACTGCAGGGTGTGGAGCACTTGGTTCTATGACCTTCTCACTGAGCACTTGTTCCTGCTCACAGACACACAGCAAGCCACCCTCCTGCCCAGGCCAAGCTGACCGCAAATCCCAGGTCCTCTGACTGGCTGTGAAAAGACAAGCTGGCCAATGCTAATCTCTCCTGGATGTATCTAAACTAAAATACCGCAAGACTAATCCAGACGATAAAGACAGCAGGAACAAACATCATGCTACATAGTGCAGACCTCCTGAGACAGCAAGTGGAGGAGGTTTAAAGAGGGAGGGGCCAGAAGCATGAATCCAGAGTAGGGACGTGCCAAAAGGAGGGGTTCAGAGGGGGGAGGGGTTAGAAGGATGGGTTCAGAGGGGGGAGGGGCCAGAAGGACAGTCCAGGAGAAGGAGGGGCAGAAGGAGCCGGAGAGAAATGGAAACATCCAAGAGACTGCAAGGCCCACAGGGCATGGACAGCACTTCAGCCTCCAGCTCCAAACTCCGATCTACAGAAAGGAACCTTCTACTGAGGTCACAGAGAGGGTCTCCACTCCTAATAGCCACAGAGGGTGAACAAGGCCCATGCCAGGACCCAACACTCACCCAGGTTGCAGAATAACATCCTCATATAAAGCTTTCTGTCGATTAGAAAGGCGACACTTCAAAACATGCTCATATTTCTTTGTCAGCTGCTTTTCCACATCTCGTTTAGTTCTCCTCAAAATAAATGGCTGTGTCACCTGAAACAAACATAACTATCATTTCCTTTCCAAAAATGTTGCCACACACATTTACAGTAAGGCATATGCATTTTTAATTAATTAGCTAAAATGATTAAACCAAACGCACCCTATGCAATCTTATGACCACTTTATGATAGTAGTCCTGGTTTTCATCACTGGGGGCTTTCAGCGGGAAGCTCAGGTAGGGCCTGGAAATCCCCGGAATGAGAAAATGTACCATGGTCCAGAGCTCCAGGAAGGTGTTGTGCAGTGGCGCATCAATCAGAAGCAGACGCTGCTGGCTGCAACGACAATGAGAGAGAACACCTGACATTCTAAAGTACATAAAGCTGGATGCAGAACTGTTTTCCTGACCACGGATTTTATGCAGTTAACATAAATGTACACCTGCCCTGAAGGAATGGACCAACTGAATCAACTTCTTGGGTCTTTAGCCCTTCCTGCTATGATAAAGGTGAAGGGTAAATTCTTTGTAGCTAAAAGGCAATTTCTGTGTGTCTACAACTATCTAAACTTCTTCAAAAAAATCCGTTCTTTATGTCAATAACAATAAAGAACACTCAGTGATGAGGGGACAGCACACAGTACTTGAGGGACAGGTCAGACCTCTGCAGGGTGAAAACTGCCTCCCAGTGCCGCTCGGTCAGGCCCTTTACACGCTGCATCTCATCAATGACCAGGCATTTCCAGCGCACCCGAGAGAAGGAGGCATAGCCCCGGAAGAACTGCTTGTAGGACGTGACGCAGATGTGGCAGCTGTTGGGCTCAGCCCATTCCTGCAGCAGAGAAAGGGGATGCCATTGTCTTCCTATTCCTTGTCTTTCGCAACCAGTCATCTTCAGAATACTTCCCAAAGCTTTCACCACCAAGTTAAAATGCCCACCCATAACTTTACTCATTTTTCTTAACAGCTTTCTAGTACTGCACAGAAAATAGCCAACTTTGTATTTTTATCTTTTCCTCTAGGAGTCTAAAGCACTTTTGCTGAAAAATTAAGAAGCTGCTTTAAAGGCATCAACAACCATCATTTTGGAAAGAGATTATCATAGAGGATTCTGAATTGGGACAAGCTTTTACAGTATATAATCAGAACAAGAGAAAAATATACTCAAAAGATGGTAAGAAATGTGAGTATCTAAGTTGCCACTAACTGCATGATAAGTTTTTTAAAAACAAATTAATACTAGAGATAGTACTATGGTTAGAATGTGACCCCTCCAAAATTCATGTTGAAACCTAATCAGCTTTATGGTAATAATAAGAGGTGGGGATTTCTCTTCTCTCATGGAAGGGTGAGTGCCTTATGAAAAGACTGGAGGGAATAATAGCATAGGCCCTTTTCCTCTTCCATTCCTTCTCCACCACATGAAAATGCAGCATTCCTTCCTTGCATGGATGTAGCAACAAGGCCCATCTTGGAAGTAGATACTGGGCCCTCACCAGACACTGAACCTGTCGGTGCCTTGACCTGGACTTCCAGCCTCTGGGACCATGAGAAATAAATTTCCACTGTTTGTAAATTACTCAGTCTGTGGTATTTTGCTACAGCAGCACAAATAGACTAAGACAGAAAATAAAAAGGAAAACATATCTCAAGGTACTTACTTTTTCACTAGATACTACTCCATACAATGATACCTAATGATGAGCCAAATATTATATTCGATGAAAAATTGTGATCAATATACATTTACTTAGGACCTAACACTAGAAATTATCAGATGACTAAAAGAAAAAAAAGTCCAAATTTGTTCCAGAAACCTATCTATATGTTACAAATATTCTTAATACAGTCGGCCCTCCACATCTGCAGGTTCTGCATGTATGGATTACACCAACCGCAGATCAAAATGCAGTATTTCCAGGATGCAGAACCTGTAAATATGGAGGGCCAAGTTTTCATATAGAAGGTTATGTAGGGCCAACTGTGGGACCTGGTATCCATGGAATGGGTGGCAGGTCCTGGAACCAAACTATAAACGTGTGAATGGAAATTATTTCATGAATTTATAATTCAGAATTTCTTGTTTAAGCTTGTGAAAATCAATGGGGCTTGTAGGTAAAAAGGACTGTAGGGTCTCCAGAGAATACTTTAGCTCTGGAAAGAAATTCCCTCACTTTCTGGGAAAGAGTGAAATTGAGCCCTGCATACAGGTGGGCCTATGGCCCTCATTGCCAGGAACAACCAGGTTGACTGAGTGTCATCTATGCTTTCAACAGATTAAAAGTCTAGGAACAACGTGAAGGTATGGTATCTCACGAATAAGTGATTCCTAATAATTACATTAATAAGCATGTCCCCACATTTTGAAATTTGTCTTCTGTAAAAATTAAGAAGGTTTTCTGTTTAGTTTCATTTTAGGTTTAAAAAAATACCTGTCTCTTTGCTTTGAGTTCTCTGTGGCTGCCAACATACGAGAGGGTTTTGAGCCCAGGACACCAACGTTTCAATTCAAGTTCCCACTTGAGTATGTTACAACTTCTCACGACAACAAGATGGGGGCCCCAATTACCTACAAAGAAAAAAGACACATTAATTTTCCACTTTAAAATAATCTCTCAAGGGCCGGCCCGGTGGCGCACTGGATAGTGCGCCCGCTTGGGAAGCGCGGCAGCGCTCCCGTCCGAGGGTTCGGATCCCACGTACAGACCGGCTCCCGCTCACTGGCTGAGCGAGGCGCGGGAGCAATGCCGAGGCTTGCGATCCCGTTGCCGGTCCCCGGTCCGGTACGGGGGCAACACTGAGGGTTGCAATCCGTTGCCGGACACGGAAAAAAGACAAAAAAATAAAAAAATAAAAAAATAAATAATAATAATAATCTCTCAAGCCCAGGCATCTAGCAGTGCATTTGACCAGACACGTATAACAAGTGGACAGACACACAGTTAAGGAGATGGTGGCAGGCAGGGGTTGGGGGGAAGCTTGCTTAGAAGATTCAGATGTGCAGTGCATCCCCCAACAGCCCAGAGTTTGGACAGGTTTCTCCAGCTCCTGCTGCTCCGCCACAGGGGTGTGCTGCCTGGCCCAGAGGAGGCACTCCACCAACACCTGTCGAATGATTGGCCACTGAATAACATCCGTTTTTATTCAGAACCAGAGTAGGCCCCACTGGGAGCCTGGGGAAGAACAACAAACAACTTTCAGAAACTGAAGACAGCATGCAGATGGAGCGCACACACTCACTCCAGAGGACCTGAGCCCCAGCGTCCAGCACACTCTGCCAGCTTCTTTCCCAGTGTGTGCAGGTCTGCTCCCCTAGAGCACAACCATCACCTCTCTCACTGGACGGCTAATGGAACCATATTCCCTCTGGCCTCTGCGGTCTTTCCCAGTGCAGAGTCAGATAGAGCACTCCCCCCGACCCCCAGAGACCTGCACTAACAGCCACCTCGTGCCAAGGCAAAGACATATCCTCAACATGCCAGTGGCACCTGCAGTCCCCACACCCACTGCCCCATCTCCTTGAGACCCTCCACTCCAGTTGTCCCCGGCCCTCCCATTCCATCAGGTTATGGGAGATGCCTCGTTAACCATGCTGCTCCCCCTTTCCAGGCTGCAGGTGTACCCGTCCTCTGTGCTGGTGCAGGTGTCCTGAGGGCCTGCTGCACATGCAGGGCCTAGAAACATGCCTGGTCAGGGCAGTCCCCAGATAAAGACCTGAGGAATGAATAACTGACTCACTCATTCACTTGTCTAATTAATGAAATAAAATCCCCTATCTTTACAAGAGGCTAATTCCAATTTTTTACTATTGTATACATAGTAATAAACACTTCTTTCACTTAAATCACTTTTTTCACTTAAATAATAAAATAGTAAGGCAAGGTGGTTTTTCAATCTTGAAGTAACTATATTAAATCTGTTTTGAAGTATTACGTTTAAAATATTACAATACTACGGCCGGCCTGTGGCTCACTTGGGAGAGCGTGGTGCCAATAACACCAAGTCAAGGGTTGAGATCCCTTTATTGGTCATCTTTTAAAAAAAAAAAAAATCGCAATACTGAGTCAAAAACAGAAACAGGGCCGGCCCGGTGGTGCACTGCTACAGTGCGCCGCTTGGGAGCGCGGTGGCGCTACCGCCG